AATATGCTTCCTTGTCGCGTTATTGTATCAATTTGCAAACAAGAAGATTATTGATAGATTGCTTGTATAAAAATTAATTATTAATAAAATATATATAAAATTGTAAACGCGTTAAGTTAATAAAAAATAAAATTATTACTAAAAATTATTTTATTATTTAATGAGAATCAGTGCTAGATTTATTAATTATTATATAAATGTAATAGGCACATAAAAATCGAGATTAGGGATAGTAATCAATATAATCGTTTCCAAAACGTGAAACAATCGGTTCAACTGGATTTTCGACGTATTCGGGCACTTGTATTTCTGGTTTTTGACAGGCTAGAGCTCCACATCTATTTTTGCAACATTTTAATGTCCCTTTGCAATCGTTGTCGCCATTACAAGTCGATGTGCATACCCATCTTCCTGTCGGTACCAATGGGCAAGATCCTGGTTTCTCTGCTCAACACACAGATTATTTAATTTTTTAATTATAAATTTGTAAACTTATTATTAATTTATTGTGCTTTTCTATTAATATTATTACAATATTCTAGTTATAATACACAATAATTATGACAATAAAAAATTATCAAAATTGTAACTGTTCAGGAGAATAAAATAGTTTCCTCTTTAAAAGTTTTTTTCTTTATAAGTTGCAACAGAAGTGGAAAAAAATTATATGCATTAGAGCCAACAAATATTTCTTAAAAATATGTTGATAAAATTATATAAATTAATAAAGTATATAAATTTTGTTTTATTATAAAGTTTACAATTAGTGTAATATTAAATTTTGTAGTAAAATAATAATAATTGTTTAAACATGTCGGATGTCAATATTTCTGTTTCAGATTAACAAATCAGGCACAATATATCGAAGAAATTATTCACCTGTTTGAGATTGCGTCATCGTGACGGGCATAGAGCAAATGGAACCGCCACATCGAGTCTGACAACATTTGCCGATTCCCACGCAATGTGCGTCAACGTAACAGGATCGTCCGCAGAACTGCACAGGTAAGGCAGGTGGACACGAACCTGGTTTGGTCGCATATCCGTTTTGTGTTTTCACAATAGTGATCATCGCCACAAAGACTAGAGATACGACTAGCAATCTCATTTTTTTGCCGGACACTATAACACTTGTGATCTTGCGTGTTAGGAGCTATGGATGATAAATATTTCATTTTTTATTAGAATGAGAGTAAGTTAAAAAGTTCGATAATTTGATCTGCTATAGATGTTAAGTAGTAAACTTGTATAAAATTATAAAATTTTAGTTGGAATTTGAAAGTACTATGAAAAAATGAATTTTAATAATGTTTTATGACGAATTTTAATAATTAATTTCAATGATAGTAGAGAAAGAGAAAAGAGAAAATATAAACAAAAGCTAATTTTGAAAAAAATGCATTAAAAATTTTTTGTCTTGTAATATTTTCGGAAGCTGCAATTATATTAGCAATAAATTTAATTGTGTATATATAT